AGCAGGACTTTCCAGCACTCACTGTGTTCCCAAAATGCAGGAGGAACGTATGAAACCTGGAGTCTGAGCTTTGAGAAGAGCAAGGAGCAGTGACCACCCCCCTTCCTCACCCAGCAGCACACACAGACTCAGCCTTGTGCCTGACAGAGATTAAATTCTTCATAATTAAAGCAAAAAAACCCTCTCTGGTCCTGCACTGAGGAGATCATGATCCAAACTTCCATCTTCTTCAACAGAGCTTCCCCACAGGGTTCATTGGGTAGAAAAAGGCTCCAACACCCTCCTGCCATCCATAAACATTCAACGACAGCACATTTCTGAGCTACTAAAATTAACTGGGGTTTTTTAAAATACATTAATTTATAGGTGTGTAGGTATTTTCAATTTCATATAAATTGCCCCCCAAGAATAATGGAAATGCCTCCAGAGAAGGGCAATGGAGCTGCTGGGGAAGGGTCTGGAGGCCAAGTGTGGGGAGGAGCAGCTGAGGGAGCTGGGGGTGCTGAGCCTGGGGCAAAGGAGGCTCAGGGGAGACCTTCTGGCTCTGCACAGCTCCTGACAGGAGCCTGGAGCCAGGTGGGGGTCAGGAACAAGGGACAGGACAAGAGGAAACAGCCTCAAGTTGCCCCAGGGGAGGCTGAGGTTGGACCTGAGGAGAAATATCTTCCTGAAAAGTATTGGTTTAACCTGTGCCAGGCTGCCCAGGGCAGTGGTGGAGTCCCCACCCCTGGAGGGGTTTCCAAGCTGTGGAGATGTGGTGTGAGGGACACGGGGCAGTGGGGACCTGGCAGGGATGGGGAATGGTTGGACTCAATGATCTTCAAGGTCTCTTCCAGCCAAAAGAGTTCTGTTCTATGGTTACATATGACTTAGGTCAACACAGATGAAGAACCTGGAAAGAACTTCAGGTCCTGCTAATGACTTTGGGCTTTTGGCAGGATAAGCAACCTGTGCCTGTAGAAGCTAGTGAAGAGGAGGCTGGGCTTGGGAAGATCTGGCACTCCTGAGGAGCACCCTCTGAGCTGGGGGGATGGCCCTGTGCTGTTGGCTCTCACCTTGAACCTGTCCTGTTTGCCAAGACTAATGACAGCCCATAAACTCCCAAAGGACCTGGCAGGCACCTTTTGAAGGTGTTGGGAAAACGGATAACCCAGGACTACAAAGGGATGTCACCTCTAATTAGCAATGTCATTCTAGAAAACATAGTAAGTTATGGAGCCAGCAGAACCTAATTGAGATCCAACACACCTTTGGCTTGCCTTCAAAAGAACTTTCAGCTTCTGAGGTGACTCATTAGTGCACGTGTTGTCCAGGGCTGGGGCGTGGGCTGGGTTTTCTGTTTGGCTGTGTTTGCATTGCTGGAGAAAGATAAAGATTTCTCATCACTTCTAACCTGGCTGGGATGAGAACGTCCAATAAAAGGCAGGAAATTTCCTTCTCTCCTTTGGGATCTATAAAAACTCCCCCAACGGCTCGTTGGCATGAGAAGGAAGGTGCAGGGCTGAGATGTACAGAGCAGGTTTAATGATTAAATCATCTGGTGTGGAGGCCTCTTGAGATCCTACTGAGCTCTGTCGTGGATTTTTAGCTGGTGGGATCTCAACAGAAAACACTCCAGGAGATGTTTGTGTGCAGAACATGATGCAGGACCAGAAGAACACATCATGCTGCCAGCACATGTCTCTGAGTGACAACGTAGGGGTTTGGGAGGTTCCTCAAGCCCTGGTGGGAACAGCCTCCAGCCCCTGGGGCTGAGCTGCCCACCCTGAGCAGCTTCTCAGAGCAGGTGCTGGCTGAAGAAGTCCCATCTCCCCATCCAGCAGCTGCAACCCATAAGCCTTCTGAAGCTCCTGCACAACCAGCAAGGAGCTGCTCCCCACAGGGACTGAGCCACGTAGGGGTGGTGGACTCAAGGAGCTTAAAAGCCCTGAACTAATCTCCTACTGCCATCAAATCATCTTCTGTGGGAGGAAACTGGTCAAACTCCACCAGGAGGAAAGCTTTGCTGGGCTGTAAACCACCACCTTTATTGACAATGTCTGGTGCCAAGCCTGGGAAAGGAGAAACCCTCCCAAGCCAAAGCCACCGTGGAGGGTTTTATGGGGCACATGAACCCTTTGGTTTATGGCAGCTGGTTCCAGAAGGCTGCTCAGCGTGGCACAGCCACCTCCCCAGGAGCTGCCTTGCTCACCCCCGAGCAGGCAGGAGGCTTCACCCTCCCCCAGCATTGTCCAACCTTTCCCCCATCCCTGCCAGGTCCCCACTGCCCCGTGTCCCTCACACCACATCTCCAGGGCTTGGAAACCCCTCCAGGGGTGGGGACTCCACCACTGCCCTGGCCAGTCTATTGCTTTCCACCTTTTTCTTCATCCAAGGTGAGAAGCTTGATCCTCATCTCTGTGGACAAAGGCCCACACAGGGAAGAAATTCTTCCTCAGATCCAATCAAAACCTCCCCTGGCACAACCTCAGCCCATTGCCTCTTGTCCTATCACTGGTTACTGACAGGCTTTTTTGGGCCAAATGTCATCTGCAAAGCTGTAATGTTAATGGCCTGGACTAATACCAACAGTGAGAACCTTCAGGGTTCCTCAGCTAGGAACTTCTAGACAACCAAATTTCCAGGCTCTGGCAACCTAGAATCATAGAATCTTTTAGGTTGGAAGGGACCTCCAAGATCATCAAGTCCAACCATTGAGCCATAAGGGCTCTAAAGTCCTCTGCTAAAACAGATCAGAATCTGTCAGGGTTGGAAGGGACCACAAGGATCCCCCAGTTCCAACCTACCTACAGCAGCACTGGCACCTGAGCCCCACTGCTCACAAGTCCTAACCAGGTAGTTACTGGAGGTAGACAGGTTGTTGGAGGGTAAAAAACAACCTCCCTGAGTTGCTTGTGTAGCAGGTACTAAACACACCCTTCTGGGGCCTCTCAGGACCTGGGGCCTCACCAACATCAGCTGGCAAAATACAAACTAGAAATGCCAAGAGCCAAGGACTTGACTCTACCAAGAGATGGTTTCAAGAGCAGCTTGCAGTCCAACTCAACACAGAATGAAAGGAGCACACCAAAGAGAGACACAAGAGATGAACCAACCTCTCCAGCAGTGAGAGCCCAGCCCTAGGGGCACACAGCTGAGAACACTGGCTGAAACTAGGCACAGAAGTGTTTGGGGGTTACCTGTAAGAACTTCTGAACACCACACCTTGGGGCTGCAGGAGACAAGAGGCATCGTGGTGTGAGACCACAGCTCTCAGTCTGTTATCCCAGCAGAGCAAAGGAACATGACAACAGCAGGACAACTCCCACCTCACTGTTCCTCAGCAAGCTGCCTTGTCCTGTCTGCCAAGAAGATCTCCCCTACATGATGGGTGTCCCTGGATCTCCTGAGGAGCACCTCAACTGCAAACCCAGCATTCTAGCCTTCCTCAGCCCAGCTGAACTGTTTTAAAGCAGAGCCTTGGAGTGACAGATCCCAGCCCCTGAGAAACCAGCTTGTTTTTCTTTTAACATCTGAAAGCCCTTAATAATGAGCCAGGTCTCCACCCCTTGGGCTGCAGCATGACTTACCCAGCTCTGGGTCAGTCTGTGAGGTGAGGGTCGAGGTCAGGCCAGGCCATGGTGCAGAAATACTGCTCCTCTGAGCTCTGGTGGGACAGGGGATGAGGGAGGTCCCTCTGGGACAGGGGTGTCTTGAGTTAGGTCAGATCACATGCATGATATCCGTGGTTGAAGGCAATGAAGAAGTCAATGCTTGCTCCTCTGAGCTCTGGTGGGACAGGGGTGTCTTGAGCTAGGTCAGATCACATGCATGATACCCGTGGTTGAAGGCAGTGAAGAAGTCAATGCTGCAGCCCTGCAATCTGGGCATTCCCAAGTGATAAAGCTGAAGTCAGAAAGCTGGGGACAGAGTTTTGAGCAGGGCCTGTTGGGACAGGACAAGAGGGGATGGTTTGAAACTAAAAGAGGGAGATTTAGGCTGGAGAGAAGGAAGAAATGTTTGACCCTGAGGGTGGTGAGCCCCTGGCCCAGGCTGCCCAGAGAGGTGGGCGCTGCCCCATCCCTGGAACCATCCCAGGTGAGGTTGGATGGAGCTCTGAGCAACCTGCTCTAGCTGGGGATGTCCCTGGTTGGACTAGATGGCCTTGAAATGTCCCTTCCCACCCAAACCCAGTTTATGATTGTCTAAAGTAAGCACTTCCTGAAACAAAATAATAAAATAACTCCCAAACCCCTGAGAAGCCAAGGAAGATCTTCCTGCTGCAGCCATCCCCTTGGCTGTAGTTCAATATTTACACAAGAAGGAACAAGTGACAAACAAATGGGATAAATGCCAGTCTGGGAAATCATCTTTGCTTCTTTTTGGCCCATTTTTTTGGGGCCAACCTTTTGGGTGGGAAGCAGAGAGTATCTGCTACTGAATCTACCTCTTGCTAAGGACATAGCCTCAAATGCTGCTTCCCAAACCAGACAGCAGTTTGGTGGCAAAGCTGGGAGCTAATTGTCTTAAATTCTAACACACTGCCCTGCTGAGGGGACTGTTTTTGGCAAAGGTGACCTGAATGTCTCACTCCTGGCACCTTCTACCACCCACCCAGGTCTGGGGACAGGCTGAGCTGTGTAAACACACGGTATCTGGGTGCAGACAGCACCAGATAAGAGCCCTGGCTAGGTGACAGCACATCAGTGGAAGCTTCAGGAGTGGGAGGGAAGAGACACAGCAGGAGAAGGGGTGTTGTGACAGAGCAGGAGGCAACTGTAGTGGTACAAAGGATTTTAATATATAATCACTCAAATGACAGTGCACTATAAATAAAACATGATAAAAACACAAAAAAAGAAAACAACATTTTATAATTAATAACCCTGAATTCTTCACTTTTTTTTCCTGAACAGCTCCTTTGGATAAATAACAAGAAAGGTACCAAAAAGTACTGCTAGAAAGATGGTGATGGTGAAAAACTCCTGGGGCTGTTAAAGTGCTCGGAGAGGTTGTTTGCCTCATTTTTTGGCAGGCCTTGGGAACTTCTTAAACTCCTCCTGTTTCTTGAAGAAGAGCTGAGCGAGGATGTGATCTGCTGTCTGGTGGAAGTACTCGTTCATCCGAAGGGTTTCCAGCTAGAAAGATAAAAAGAGAAGGTTTTAAAAAGAATAATAGCTACCCAATGAGTTTTAGTGGATTCATTAGGGTCTTCTTAGACTCTGTCTCGGCACAAAAGCACAAAGCTGAGGTGCAGGAGAGGAGCAGAGCTGAAGATTTTCCCCCCTCCCCTTGCCCGGGTGAGTTCTCACCTGGTTCCCTGTGCTGTAGGCCAGAATCAGAAGCAAATCCTCGTCGCACACGCTCTTGATGTAATGTTGGGTTCCCACAGGGAAAAATATGACATCTCCAATGCCAATGTTGAAGTTGGCAGTGACTCCAGAGAGAATAACTCCAACCTGTTGCAAGTGAAGCAGCAATTTTGGACACCAGCCACCTCCAGCGTGCTGCTGCTGGATGAATACGCAGCGACGGTGCCGGCACGGGTTGAAATCAGCTCACTAGCTGTGATAGTGGTACCAGCACTCTCCCCAAGACTCCAAAAAGTCTGAATTTCTCAGTAAGAACATGGTGAGCAGTTATATGATGGTGTCTTCCCATTCCATCTCCATTATCTTTGTGCTTCACATTTGCACCGAGTCAAAAAGATGGAAGAAAACCCTTAACACAGCCTAAATTGTTTCTGTTTAGCTGTTCCTCAGAGGTGCCAAATCCAGAGTATTGGGTTTTTTATTGTGTGCTCCTAGCATTCAGGAGACAAGAGTGTGCAGTGACAGGACAAGGGGGAATGGTTTTCAACTGAAGGGGAGTAGGTTGAGACTGGATGTGAGGAAGAAGTTCTTCAGTAGGAGGGTGGTGAATAGATCTCTGGGTGCTCTCTTGCTGGAGGTGTTCAAGGCCAGGTTGGATGAGGCCTTGAGCAACCTGGTCTAGTTAAGAGGCAACCCCACCCACGGCAGGGAGGTTGATTAGATGATCTCTAGGATCCCTTCCAACCTAAACCAATCTATGATTCCACCTGGGATTTTGCTGAACAACAACAACATGGACAAATTCTGCTCCTCGTATAAGCCCTCTTAGACTAGCCAATGCAACTGAGACCAAAATGTGGTGTGGAGGAGGAAAGCGTGGACACCAAAAGTTCTGTCACCCTTCTAACTGTGCTGTTACCCATCAGGGCTGGGCATAGATTAATAAACCACTCATTCCAGCCCCAGTGCCTTCCCCTGGGGCTGGCAGGGCTCACCTGCCCACAGCCACTGATGACGTAGCCCATCTCGTTGGCGTTGAAGTGGAAATGGGGCTGCCCCAGCCCGTTGCTGAAGATCCTCAGAGTTGCCAAGGTGAGCGTGTCCTCGTGCTGCAAAACAGGACAAAACCATCCAGAAAACCACCTCAGGTTTGTCCTATCTCTGTTATACATGAGCAGGCAGCGACGAGCCCACGGGATCTGCAGGCTCTGCCTCAGGTCGATGCCTCCAGTTGGGAGCTCTTACCCTGTGGAGGGACTCACTAAATATCTTCTCTGTTTCATTGAGCCCTGTGCTGTTCCTTCTGTAGCGAGCCCACTGGAAGACTCCTCCTGGAAAAGGATGTTCTGCTGACCCTACAACAGAGACAAACAAATGAGCATTTCCACCAAGCTTTGGTTGATGTTGTTTCTCCATGTCTTGGCCACTTTCAAGTGGTTACCACGACGTTTCCCCACCCACTGGATTTTTTCCATCCCAAATTGCAATTGATGACAACACACTTGAAGAACACGTTGACTGCCCTTGGGTTAATCCACATTAACCTTCAGGGCACTGATGGTGTGTGGCAGCATTTCATAAAGTGCTGCCAATGCAGAGCATTTGTGTCTGAGTGCACAGATCTGTGTCACACATCTATTCCTCGTGGCCTCCAGAAGCTGTGTGTGGAGCTCCACACCTACATCTGCTTTTTGGACAGGCTGGGATTAAGTTTTGGCCTGAGGTCCTCACTGATAATCAGTTTGTACAGAGGGTTGTTTAATACAATTGTTGATAAATCAAAGAGTGAATCTGGTTCAAGGCTGGTTGTGAAGCTCTATTTGTAAAAGAAAAGGGGGGACAGCATTAGGTGCATGGTAAGTTTGGGTCTGAGGGGGGAACCCCTCTGCTGGGAGGCCAGGCTGAGAGAGTTGGTCTTGGGCAACCTGGAGAGGAGAAGGCTCCATGGAGACCTTCTGGTGGCCTTTAAGTATCTGAAAGGGGCCTACAAGAAACCTGGGAAGGGACTTTTTACAAGGGCCCTTGAATCTTGAGCTGGGAAGTTTTAGTGTGTGCCCTGCTGCTTCCTGCCATTCTACCTGTCTTGCAGATAGAAGCATTAGAACCAAAAGGGTGAGCTACTCTGAGATAACAATCAGGTTCTACATCATCAAATTGATGTATTAGCAATATAGTTGTCATTTTATCTCCTTAAATTCATATCATTCCTCTCTATATTTTTCAAGTTCTGTTTCAGCAAGCTGGGCACAGGTCCCCTGCCCTTCTGGAAGCTCTCCCATCTGGGGTACCTTTGAGGTTGTAGAAGTACTGCCACACAAGGTTCTCTGGAGACTGCACATAGGTGGCATTTTGCACAAGCTCACTGAGGTTGGGTGGGAGGTTAACTGCTTGATCTTCTTCTTGTTTCTTGAACGTCCTGATGAAGTTGACTCCACCTTGTGGCTGTGGGATACATGATACATGTGAAGTTGACAAGATACACAACAAACTAGGAGTCAAATTTTGCCTCACTGAATGACCCACCAGAGTTCCTGGTGGCAGATGAATCCTTGCTCTCAAGGATTTGCTCTTGTCAGTGAGGACAGACCTGGTTGCTTTAACTGCCTCACCCTGTTCATACTCTGTTTTGTTCTGCCCTTCCTCCTCAGTGACCACAGAGCCTTGGAGCAGAAGGGAAACTCAGACTCTCCCATCAAACTCTTTCAGGATGGGAAGGTCTCTCAAAATTCTGTGGTTGGAACATGCAAAGTCTTCAGACTCTGCAGAAACTCTGTGGCTGTTTGGACATTGCCAACTAGTCCGTTCAGATAAAATCCATTTTAACAAGGAGATAATTTCCTATGAGACCTTCTCATGCCACAGAATTCATCAAGGAAATTAGCTTTGGGCTTCACTGTCCTTTTCCCTTCCACCCCTGGAAATATGGAGGATGCTTCAGGAACTGGGGGTAAATGTGAAAAGGAGAAAGTTTGCTGGTGAGAGCATCATGATTGACTTCTGCTCTTGTACAAAGGAACTCACAGGGTGGCACAGTGTTACATGAAGGATGTGTGCACATCCTTCCACACTGCTGGGACTGAAGAGAACAGCTCAGGTAGGGAAAACCCTCTCTAAAAAACACAGAGAGAGAGCCTGGGCTGTGATGATAATGTGTAGAAGACTAGACAGAGGGTGGCCATCCCTTCATACCAACCTTTAATGCTCTAGCTGCTATATCCTCTGGGGTAGAGAAAAATGCATCATCTACGTCCAAGGTCTGAAGTTCTTCATGTGTTGTGAAAAACAGCAAGAACAGACAATCTTCTGACCCTACATTCTTGATCCAGTGCACAGTGTTCCTAGGGAAGAAGATCACCTGGCCAGCAGTGACGTTGTAGGTGATGACTGTGCTGCCATCTGCACCAATCACTCCGATCCAGGCAGTGCCCTGCAACAGAACCCCAACACAATGGTGGGAATGAAGGTCTTCTCCTTGCATCTGTGTGGCAAACCAACCACAGAGTCATAGAATGGTTTGGTTGGAAGAGACCTTTAAGAGCATTGAGTCCAACCCTTCCCCCATCCCTGCCAGGTCCCCACTGCCCCGTGTCCCTCACACCACATCTCCAGGGCTTGGAAACCCCTCCAGGGGTGGGGACTCCACCACTGCCCTGGGCAGCCTGGCACAGCCCTGGGCAACCCTTGCCAGGGCGACATTTTTCCTCATGTCCAACGTAATCCTCCCCTGGGGCAACTTGAGGCCATTTCCTCTTGTCCTATCACTTGTTCCTTGAATAATTCAAATGACCTGAATGCTGTCAGGGAAACACAGATCTGACACACTCGCCTTTTGTGAACTTAAATCCAGAATAACATTTTAAGTGACAACATTTTAGGTTTAAAGGAACACATGACAAATGCTCATTGCTCATACTTAAAGCATTTCTCATTAAAGAGGCTGTGAACAGCTTATGGAGGAGACATCTTTGACCAAAAAATGCTGGAGAGAGGACCAGGTGTTTGATGCCTTACCCACCCAGCCGGTGATGGGTTTCTATGCTGATCAAAATATGAAGAATTATTTTTAGAAAGAAATTAATAATTGAAATACATCTAAGTACCTAGGCCTCCAAAGAATGATAATTGGATAGTTTTGTTTTCCAATTAATACACTGCCTTGAATTCTCACAGTGAGTTTCAATCTTTTTTCTTTCTTTTTACAGATTTGAAATCTGACGCTCGGTTGAGACAAGGCAAAAACTATCCAAAGAGATTTATTTTGGGGATAAAAACCTACAACTGGGAAAGCTGAACTAACCAGACAATACCTGCAGCAGGTAGCCATGCTCGTTGGCATTAAAATGCCAGTGGGGAGCTCGAAGCCCTTGGCTTTTGATCCGTAAGGTTCCAAAAGTCATTTTGGAGCGATGGTGGTTGATGCTCTCTCCAAATTCCATTTCTTCCTCACTCTGATATTCGTTTACATCCTTCCTGAATCTTGCCCACTGAATTTCACCCCCTGGGTAGTTATGTACCTGTAAAGTTAGGGAGAGTGGAGAATGGTGTTAATTAAGGATTATTGTATTCATTGTGGAGAGTGGTGACTGTACAACCCAAAAATACTCCAGGAAATTCTTGGTCTGGGGAATAGCAAAGGGACATTTCCTCTTGCTCTCTGTGTGGATTCTCTCTGTGTTTATTTCAGACATTGGAATTATTTGAGTCATTTAGTAATTTTCATTGGAAAATTAATGGCATAGTTAAATCAAACATAAAAAAAAGTACCAGAATGGTTGTTGTTGGTTTAAAGTGCCCTATTATCTGCTCAGTCTTTTGTCCTCTTTTGCTGAAAAGCAGAAACTAATCAGGATTTAGCTTTTATATAAAGATATATTTCAAATATATACATATATTTCAACCCTTTTGGAGAAAATGTGTCCTCAGGGCCAACCTCAACCTCCCCTTGTGCAACTTGAGGCTGTTCCCTCTTGTCCTGTGGCTTGTCCCTTGGGAGCAGAGCCCGACCCCCCCCTGGCTCCAGGCTCCTGTCAGGAGCTGTGCAGAGCCAGAAGGTCTCCCCTGAGCCTCCTTTGCTCCAGGCTCAGCACCCCCAGCTCCCTCAGCTGCTCCTCCCCACACTTGGCCTCTAGACCCTTCCCCAGCAGCTTCGTTGCCCTTCTCTGGCCCCGCTTCAGCCCTTCAAGGTCCTTCCTGGAGTGAAGAACCCAAAACAAACCTAGGATTTGAGATGTGGCCTCACCAGTCCCTAGTACAGAGGTATTTGATCTTTCTGGTTTTGTTTCTCCAAATTTCATACTCAGTTCAGAATCACACACAAAATGTTGCCTTGTCTCACAAGCCTCATTTGTTGGAGCCATCATTTAGGTCTCCAGGAGGCACTCTGGAGATCCACACAACTTCCAACATCTGTTAGGAACTGGAGCAATACACTGTCAAGAAGATTGGGTCTTTCCCCATGGGCTTTAAAAGAACCTGGACAACAGGTTTAGATCATAAAAAAATAGTCAGGTTAAACTTCTCTGTTTGCATCTAGAATATTATTGCAGAAGGTGACCAGTTTACCTTGGATTTCCCCAGGTGATTCAGGAACTGGAACTTGACATCCACACTGTTTTCATTTGGATGTGGGGAGGATTCACCATTGTCTGGAGCACCTGGGTCTCTCACGTAGGCCGTGGTGTTCACGTAGACCAAGGACAGAACCAGCACCCCCACTGCAGTGGTGATAATGCAGGCCAAGAGACAAACTAGAAAGACTTTCATGAGGGACCAGCTGCTCTTTTTTCCCTGAAAGGAATAAAAAGTCCCCCCAGACAAAAAAAAAGATGAAAGATTAAATGCTGAAAGGTTTTCTCGTTGCTGTTTGTGATCTATGCCACAAAGTGCTGAAGAGCTGTAGCCCCAACTCATGGCAAAAACCTTCAGCTCTGGGCTACAGACAGGCCAGGAGGGGGAAATTTCATCTGTACTAATTGCTCTGGGTGTAATTTACTGAAAACTTTGTGGACATGCAGGTTTCTGAGGAGGGTGAAGGAGAACACAAGTTCTTTATAAAAGGCCAAGGCACTTCTGGCAGCATGAAGGTGAAGGTCCTCACCCTGCTGAAGATATTCAGGGTCTCCTGTCCCTTAACCTCTGTTGCTGCTGAAGTTGCAGTTTCTGAGGAGCAGAGATGGGATTTTCTGGCCCAAATTTTCAAATTCTCTGCTGATTCTGGGTGCACAGGTTGAGCTGCCTTTAAACACTTGATTTTTTGGATGGTGAGTGCCTGAAAATGAGCTATGAATGATTTCTTAAAGTTGATTTCTTAGGGTGGACAACCAGAAATTAAAAAATTGAGCATTACTTGTCAAATTTAACAAAATGACCTTTTCTGTGAAGCTTTTTGACAGAAGCTCTTTACAAATACATCTTTTATGCCAGAATAAAAGGGCTCAAATATCCCCCTATTCAATTTGGTGATAATCTTTTCTTCAGTTGAAATGATCCCCCCTTTCTAAAGCTTGGGTTCAATTAAATATCACAACAGTGATACTCACACCACAGAGTCTCACAAGGCTTTGTAGTTAGAAGGATCTGAAATCCCCATTTCTCAGAGCTGAAGGACCTTTAATTTAGAGCATTTTCACAGCAGTGGCACCAAGTCAGTAATCATTTTTAAAGCCAAAGGGATGTTGTACATATTGCAGAGTAATAATGATATTAAATAATAAAGAACATTCAACCTCAGTGCAGCTGTGTGGAGTGAGTTATGGTGTGGGGTTACAACAACCCCCTGCAATGCTGCAGGCTGGGGGAAGAGGGGAAAGTGCCCAGAGGAAAAGGACCTGGGGATGTTGGGCAACAGCTGGCCAAAGATGAGGCAGCATGTGCCCAGATGGCCAAGGAGGCCACCAGCAGCCTGGCTTGGAGCAGCACGAGTGTGGCCAGCAGGATGAGAGCAGGGATTGTCCCCCTGGGCTGGGCACTGGGGAGACCACAGC